CATTTTACACCAGTGTAAGTTACACTCTTAATCTTGTCTGTTGATCCCACTTATATCTAAGGGCTCTAATTTTTAATTTTTTTAATAATGTGAGTCATTGGATATAAGTGGATCAATAGTCAGCATTGAGCGTAAGACTTCTAACTCTTACACCGATGTAAGAATATCCTGCCCCTATATATATATATATATATATGGAAAAATGATGTATAATATCACTACATATAAGATTTAGTGCAGTCAAAATTATTATTATGTAATATGGATAGTACATATTATATTTTAATTACGTACGGTGAGTAATACATAACTTTTCTTTTCTTTTCATACTCGTAGTATATATTTAATTTCTAAAATACACTATTATTACCTGTAATAATACACTATTATTACCTGTAATACATAGTGTAACTGCAACAATCATCCGTTTTATCTTATATATAGGTAAAATTATTTTTACCATCGTTTTACGTACATTAATGATAGATATATAGTTATGATTTTTCACATTTAATACTTTTATCTTTTTATGATTATAATCCTCACATTTAATGCTCTGAAATATATATATATATGACAAGTATTTAACTGCTGCATGTATAACAGTTATATAAATGTAAATCTTATATATATAATTTATTTTGCTCTGGCTGCTGCAAGCTTCTCTGCGATTTATAGAACCGTTGCATATAAAGTAGGGTTTTATAAAAGTTATGTTGTAGAAAGAGTGATTGTGTAATGTTATAGAGATTCGTTTTGCGTACCGTAATTTTTTTTTCTTTTTTCTTCAAAAAGTGTGGGTTCCATAAAATGTTATGTGTGTAGGAAAATTGTTATGTCATGTTAAATGACAAATACAAATCCCTGTAAAGTATCAAAAAAGGAAAGGAAAGAAGAAAAAAAAAAGAAAAAAAAAAAGAAAGAGCTGCTTCACTTATGTCAATGTTTAGCACACGAATCATCTTAGTAATCTCACAAATAAAAGCTTATTTTCTTAAGATAACCGTTGTTTTAGTAAATGAGAATTTTTTTTATTTAAGAATTATATATATTTTCTAAGAATATGATGAAAAAATTCTATTTAATAAGTTAAAATCTTTTTAGGAATATTGGATTAAATTTTTTAATACTATATTTGATTGATTGTCAAATATTTGAGACGGTCTTATAAAAATAAGCCCACCTTCTAATCTTCTTCGGTCAGGTTCGATATGACAATCCCACAAAGGGGACATCGAACAGAGCTATCTACTCGATCTAACTCATTGCATAACTTCAGCAACAGATCAAGCTCCAAATCAGGTGAGGAATTTCCAGATCCATAGTCAAGCGCGTCTTTTCTCAACACCACGAGTTTAGATTCTATTGAGTTACGAAAATAAGTGTCCTTCATTTTCAGCTCGAAGGCAGTCGCACTGTCATCTTCTTCCGAATGTTGAGAGCGATCCCAAAATTTTCCTCTATGGCCGAAGGAATGAAATCCAAGCTACAGTTTTCAATTTAGTAACCGTCGCTGTCAACCAATGAAGAACCGGAGGGTTTGGAAGTGGTTTTGCATATACGAATGGGCAAAATTTCGTCATAAAACATAACAAAAGAAGAACGAAGATCAAAATTGTGCCAAATATTCTCACCGGATGAGAATCTCAAAATACCTATCTCTGATGTGGTATTTTTATAGGATTTTATTAATCTCCTTCCACATAAGATAGTTATCTTATGTGGTAGAGAGAAAATGAGTGGGTCCCACCATTGTAAGAAAAAAAAAAAGTGCGAAAATCGAAGTGAGAGAAAATGAGATAAGTTACCTCATGTGAAAAGAGAGTAATATTTCTCATTTTTATATGGGATTATGCTTCACAAATCCAAATCCCGCAAATTTAATTTTTTCGAAAACTTTTTTACAATACTTAAATCCAATATAGATAAATTAGATTTCCATTCTCATATTTTTAAAAGGGAAAGATTATCTTTACTACCTCATTTTTTTATTACCTTTTATTATTAAATCTTAACCGTTAATTTTCGTCAATCTAATAATTATATTTTATTGAAAATTAATAATTAATTAATAAATATGACCCAATAAATTACAATTGTTAGATTGACATAAATTAACGTTTAAGATTTAATATTAAGAGAGAGTAACTATAATCTCCCCCATTTTAAAATTCTAAAATTTTTTCTTCTAGCAAAGGTATAAAGGAGGCTACTCTTCAGTCTTCAATTATCAGATGGGTAAATCAACCTTTGATTGTTGGTACTTTTTAAGGTGCAGATAGTATATTTTTAATCGGAGTAAATTCTCTACTGATAAAAAATTACTTCGTCATGTAAAATTTAAATAGATGAGATTTAACAATTATAAATAAAAAAAGATAAACACAAAAATTTGACGTTATTATGTAAATTTTTAATGGGTATCTCTTTTCTCGTCTTACATAAAATAACTTATCTCATGCTATAGAGACCCACTATTTATTAAAATAAGAGAAAAATATTTGTCTTTTTAAAGAATATAATTTTGTGTCATTTTAGATTATAATTATTGATTTCAGTCAATCAATGATTAAGGTTTATTGGGTCAAACTTACTAATTAATTAATAATTCACAATAAAATCCAATAAATTCTAACCGTTGATTGACGAAAATCAACGGTTAAGATCTAAATGAAACAAAGTTATATTCCTTAAAAAGACACATTTTTTTCTTAAAATAAAAGAAAAAAGCACAAAAATAAATATGACGAATTTTGATGTCTCAAAGCATAATAAAACTATCTCCTGAGAAAATAATTTTTCATTTTTAATACGACAGAATCGATCCTCATCTTCCATATAAACAATAATATAGCTTTCAGCTAATTCTGTAATCTTACAGGAGTAAATAATATGTATTCTAGTAATAATTATAACTTGAATAGTAGATGATAAAAAAATATTATACGGTATAGGAATTCATAGTACACGAGAGCAACAGCTCTAATTAAACGTTACTCTGTCGCAGACCCCACGAAAACCATAGGAGGACAGGACGGCCAGCTAAGAGGAGCACATATATTTATGGGCTCTGCATCACTACTTCATTGGCAGCACACACTTCTAATGTGCTCTGTCCTTGGTCCCCTCCTCTAGTTATTACCTCTATTACCATTCATCCCCGTCTCTCTTATTATTCACACAGATTCTCAAGTTCTGCTTCTTCCCTCTCTCTCTCTCTCTTTTCTGTGACTGATATAGATGTTCAGAAATCTCACAACCATGAATTCAGTGTCCAGTGCTTCTTACATCTCCTCCACATGTGTACGCCTTTCTTTAGGGAATACTTTTTAGGGAATGAACCTAAATATAGATAGTTACAATGATTCTGATGAAAAAGAAATAAATGAAGGCTAGAAGATTACATTACATTACTACTCTGAATAATGTACTATGCAAGCAGTTCGTTAACAATATAATTATTTAGGACCTGAGAGGGGGTGAATAATATGAATTTGAAACAGAATCATTGTCTTAAGTTAACAGATAGAAAGACAGAATAGCAATATAAATTTTAGTTATTAGAAAAAGGTTTTAATGGGAATAGTCCTTTTTACTGGGGCGGTTGTTAAAAGCGAAAGCGTCTGGGAAGTGGGATTGAGGTATAGTCGTGATCAGTGCGTGGGCTCGGATACCCAGTCGCTTGCTATTCAGTAATCATTGCCTTTCTCTTATCCTTATCTGCATGGATCCCTGTCTCTTTTCCTTTCCCTTCCTTCTAAACAATTGACTGTTCTTAACAGTGACACTTCCCCCACACACATACATAGACATTTAACATTCATTGATATTTTTGCTCCCTCGGATTCTGAACATGACAATTCCCGCACTTTGTCTTTTTCCATTTTTATTATCACATTGGTTTTGGTTATCTATCAAATTCAAATTTACATAATAACTTAACTAAAAAGAATCATGAAAATTCTAGTCTTTCACCAAAAAGTGAAAAGTCTATTAAATTACAAAATTTTATTATAAAAAATATTAAATTAGAAGTTAAAAAATATTCAAAAATAGAATAATAAATTAACTATTGTAACATTTGTGTATATATCAATTGATTTTTCTCTGCAGAGAATAGGAATAATGGTGAGAATCAATTGTAATTTAATAAAGAAAATATTTTCCAAACCTAAACTCACAATTTCCTAGCCACAATAAATAATTTTACGGTTGTTCCAAGGTTTTTTTTATTAATACAAGAAAAAAATATTCTGTGAAATTTGGAAGATGTATTTGTATATTGGTGCGTACATGATTTTTTATTTATTTATTATTATTTAATCGTAAGTATTTTGTGACAATTTTTATTTTATTTTCTAATAATTTTGTGACAATTTTTGGGTTGGTTAAGGAAGACATAACATAAGTCCCTCCCGGATACACCACTCGCCCCTAGAGATGGCGAGTAGGGCAGAACGGGTCCGCCATCAACTCGCCAAAAAATGAATTAGCCTACCCACATTGTTTTTGAAAATTGGCTAAAAAATACGGCCCATCCCATCCCATTTGACGGGGCGGGGCGAGTTGGTTTGTTGTCTTGAACCTATTTTACACTAACTTGCATGGCTGCCTCGCCCAACCATTAACCCATTAAAAAATGAGTCAACCCACCTTGTTTTTAAGAATGAGTTATAAAACTCAACCCGTTCCTACCTCGTTTGGCAAGCGGGGCAGGCCGAGCCCGTTTTGCTGACCCTACACACCAATGTTCAAAGTTCAACTGTATTAGTAAAAATTATTATTTATTTTAATAAAAATTATTCCACGAGGGGCCTTAGGCCCTTCCATGTATAAAAAAAGAAAGAAATTTATTCCATGTTAACTGAGGATCGGAATAGATAAATATGTGGGCTTGAATGAACCTTCACTTTACTATCCCAAGCTAAATTCAGTCTGGCCAGTTTAGAGTTGGGCTTCCTCGACAGCCCAAGAGAGAGAGAGAAAGAGAGTCAACTGAAACTCAACCTGTAACAGTAACAGTAACAGTAACAGCAAGAGGAACGGGAAGAGGGAGACAAAGGGTTTGGAATTTCCATGGCTGCGACGAAAAAATTGTTAGAAACATTAGGGGGTTTGGAGAGGGATTCGTTCGTGTCCCTTCTCTCGAAGCTGATTGGGGAATCAAAACACGTGCAGAACAACCCGCCGGAGCTTATTCCGGAAGAGGACAGGGTGGTGAGGCACGTGTTGGACGCACTCCTTCCCTTCAGCACCACCACCGGCGGCGGTCCCTTGCTTCTCAACCATGTCACCTATATCTCCGGCAGAGGCAACCTCATCGTTGAGTACCCTGGAACCGTACCCGGCAAAATCCTTTCTTTTGTTGGGTGCCACATGGATGTCGTCACTGCCAACCCCAACGATTGGGTATCTATTTATCTCTGATTTTTCATTTTACCATTCGCATCGATTTTGATGTTAATGAATTTCGGGCAATGCAGGATTTTGATCCGTTTACTTTGAGCATTGATGGTGATAAACTTAGGGGTCGTGGAACCACTGATTGTTTGGGACATGTCGCCCTTGTCACACAACTCATGAGGAAGCTTGGGGAAACCAAGCCAAATTTGAAATCAACTGTTATTGCTGTTTTTATAGCCAATGAAGAGAATTCTGCAATAACTGGAGTTGGTGTAGATGCACTTGTCAAACATGGCCTTCTCAACAAGCTAAAGGAAGGTCCCCTGTAAGTGATTATTATCTCATTATCTATTGCATTTTTAAATTATAAAAAAAAGGGGGTATGTAAATAACTGTGCAAAACTTTGTTTTTATTCATTTTAGTAGAAATTTCTATTCCAATTATAATATATTTTGCAAGTTTTAATATTTTGCAATTTCTGCTTAGGTTTTGGATCGACACGGCTGATAAACAACCTTGTGTAGGCACTGGTGGTATGATACCTTGGAAACTTCATGTCACAGGGAAGCTCTTTCACAGTGGATTAGCTCATAAAGTATGCTCTTGTATTATTGTCTTGATTTTGAATCATATTCTGGACTGTTAAGGCTCAGACATAATAGCTCCGCTGTAGGATGTTTTTTCAGTTTTTCATATAATGATGTTTTCACTATGATGAAAACATAGCGTAACAGTGACATAGTTGTCAGTCCTATTATCTGAGAGCCTATAGTATGTCCGTGAACAAATATAATGGAACAAATATAATGCTATCCTCTTACCTAGCGGGCACATATTTACCTCCGTGGAAAGGATGATTCATTCCTTCTTATTCGTAGGTCATTTATGGCACGCGGGAAGAGCCCGCGCAGCTGCGGCAGGATTTGAAAAAGGAATTGATCGACCCATGTAAGTTTTGGGGGGAAAGATTGAAAGATGTTCATCTCAACCTCCTGCCCTAAAATTGGTTTACATTGAAAGATCCATAAACATTTGAAACAAAAAACAAAAGTTGAAATCTTCTTTTTCTCATATAAAGGTATGCCATGTGAATGCAACCTATGAGAAGAATGCAATGCTTTAGCTCTGAAGGCAAGCGAATGTCAAATAAAGTAAGTGTTTCCAAAGTAAAATGTTGAACAATCGTAGCAAACTTGAAGTTAGTAAAATTATATAGGATATGGTGTGAGTAATTTGATACTACTCACATTACTCAAACCATATCCTATATAATTTTACTAACTTCAAGTTTGCTACGATTGTTCAACATTTTACTTTGGAAACAATCGTAGCAAACTTGTTTATAATTCACATTACTCAAATTATATAATTTTTTTGGTTTTTTTTATTTTATGGTTTGAGTAATTTGATAACAATTCAGTCATGCAAATGCTAGCGCTCAAATTAGTTTCAGCTTGACAGTTATGCATACTGATAATATCCACTTGGTTAACCTGAAGGATCTGTCTATGTCCTGTCCCAGGGAAACTGGGAACTATGGTAGTTAAATGCAGTATACTAATTTGTTATATGGATTATGACATGGTTTGGTTATTTTAAAATTAAATTGAGTCATCTGAACAAGAAAAGGCCAAACCAGCATCAGATATGCTGCGGTTAGATATTTTAAAGCAAGTTTTTACTTATACGAATAAGAGGAATCTAGCCATTGCCGGGTTGGGATAGAAGTTAGTCATGGAATAACTAGGGATTTGAATGTCTTTTATTTTCCACCAGGTCAGAACAAGTAAACCTTTGATAGTATAAATGTTTTGCGTAGCAAGGTATTCAAGCTAGTTTAAGATGTGTAGCTTGTTTAGGCTATGACCTGCATGCTGGGAACAAAAGTTTTGGTTGGTTTATAATTGGTGTCAGGGTATTTCGGCTAGTTTAAGATGTGTTTGGATTAATAATATGTGTAGGATAGTTAACGTCTAATAGAGTTATAACATAGGCTTCATAAAGCCTATAAATTGTTTTTATTTGCAGAAATTTAGGGTATGCTTAGTTGAGCTGGAAATAGGCAACCGAAGGAGAAACTTGGGGGGTAAAATTTACGTATGAATATTTTATACATATTATTACTAAAATGTGGGACCATCTTAAGTGGATTGCAACTCTTTCACTCCACCCCAACAATATTTGGTAGGTACAAATGATATTCTACTTCTACCTAATTTCTACTGTACCTAGCAACAGTGAGTGAAAATTTTAATATTTCCAATGTACTCCATTTTCCCTCCCAATTTTACACCTTCTCTATCAAGCATATCCTTGATGACAAAATTAGGGAGAAGAAAATAGCTTAGACTGCATCTGTGCTTCATTCTGTGAATTATCGAAGAAGACTGTAATTGTTGAAATATTCTTTCAGATATAAAAGAAATGTGAATTCTCTAATTTTTTTTTTCTTTGGCTTGGCTCTGCTGCTTGAGAACTTGACGAAGTATCCAAACAGATAATGATATTAAGTTTATAGAGTTGAGGAATAATAGCGTTGCAATCAATGCATATTTTTGTAAGTATTGTAGTTGTAAACTTCTTTTAACTGGTTTCTTGTAGGCTATAAATCCGCTGGAGCTAGCCATGGACGCTCTAAAGGAAATACAGTCGCGATTTTACAGAGACTTCCCACCTCATCCTCAGGAGGAGGTTTATGGGTTTGCGACCCCTTCGACCATGAAACCAACCCAATGGAGTTGTAAGTTTTGGGCCTCAAGTAACTATTTCATACTTCTTTTTAATTAACAAAAAAAGGGTCAATTTTCATAATTATATTTTCTACTGCAGATCCTGGGGGTGGAATCAACCAAATTCCAGGGGAATGTACTATTTCAGGGGATGTCAGGTTTATTCTCCTCCTTAGAATTACTCAAGGCATTTGTTAGGAATGGTGTGGCATTACAGATATCTTTTCTCTGTTTGTTTGTTGCAGGTTAACTCCATTCTACAAGTAAGCTACATCTTACAGTATGGCCAAATTTAGTCTTTTGGTAGCTTTGGGTTCAATTTTTGTTCTTTATTTTACTAGCTTATTGCTATTGCAAAGTAGTTCTTTACTCAGTGGAGCAAACATACGAGAGTTTAGAGATTTCAAGTATTTTATGAATATTCATGTCCAATGCTCTAATACTTTGTTCAGTGTGAAGGATGTAGTGAAGAAGCTACAAGAATATGTGGACGATATTAATGACAATATACAGAAGCTAGAATCACGGGGTCCAGTTTCAAAATTTGTACTACCTGATGAAAACTTAAGGGGAAGGTGGGACTTGTCTATCCTTCCTTTATAAGCAAAGAAATCTGCTCAGCTTAAGAGTTCAACTCTAAATTTTTGGTCTTTTTATTTAATATTATTTAATCACTTGATATTTTATTTTGATTCCTTTGATTGGGTCAAATTTTTAAATATAGATTATCTGTAACCAGTTAGGGTTCCCTGACTCTCTGTTTTACAGCCTTACTATAACTTTTGATGAGGCAATGTCTGGAGTTGCTTGTGATCTTAATTCTAGAGGTTTCCATGTTTTATGCAAAGCAACTGAGGAAGTAGTTGGGCATGTAAAGCCTTACTCAATTACTGGGAGTTTGCCTCTCATTCGGGAACTACAGGTGAAAATATATTCTCATTGTTCCATGAAAAGCCTTTGTATTACCAACATTCCTTACCTAACCCCTCTTTCTGTGTCATAGGATGAAGGTTTTGATGTTCAAACTTCTGGCTATGGTATGACCTACCTAAGAATAAATTTATGCGAATTGAATTTGAAAGTAATAAAAGTACTTACTCATTTCTTTTCACGTTATGTCCAGGTTTAATGGCAACTTACCATGCCAAGAATGAGTACTGCCTTTTCACAGATATGTCCCAAGGATATCGGGTGTTCGCGAGCATCATCTCTCAATTGGAAGATTGAGAATAGCAGGGGAACTAATAATACTTATACTACCGTCTCTTGGGTTATGAAGAAATTCTTGCTGAGATCAATATAATTTAGCTGTTAAATTGCATGAAGGATTAGTTCGGTGTCAGTGACTTTTCTTTTTACAATATGATGGGCGAAGCTAGTTTGTTTATCGGGTTTTATACTTATGTTGCTGTACCAAGCAATAACTTTACAGCCGCGACAATAAAAAAGAGAGAGAAAGTGAAATGAGAAAAAATAAAAAGAAAATTTGTGGTTCCCATATCCTTGTAAAATTACTGTTTGGTGCATTGGTGCAGCTTAAAACTCGGACTGGTTATCGAATTAGTCGAGGTACTGAGTCACTGGTTCAATCGGTTTTACTGTTCACATATTAAAAATATAAAAATATTACTTATTAATAAAAATTCACATAAGAAAACTATCTATGAGCTTCAAAAAATAAATTGATTTTCAATGATAACAAATATTATATACTTCTAAACTTCTAATTCTAGACCGTTGAGATGAGATCATGAGACCATAAGTGTTTATCACCACTTAACTTCATGAGATCATTATAAGATGTAACTAAATTACATAAATGAATTATACTAATCTAAAATATTTTATTATTTTCACCTTACTTTTAATAATATTCATCATAAGATATGAATATGATTTAATTCAAGAGTTCTTATCAATAAAAAAAAAATTTATCAAAAAAAGAAGGAAAAATCGGTTTAACCCGAGTCAACCGGGTCGTCAGATTTTGACCGGGTCAACCGGTCCAATCTGGATTGACTACATAACCGGTCTAATTATCTGCTCAGACCGGATCACCGAGTCCCGGGTCGACCCGGACGGTCCGAGTCGGGTTTTAAAACATTGATAAGAAGCATAAAATCCTTGTTTATTAGCCATAAATTTCTCCGTTGAAAAGCACTATTTTTTCCAGTGAAAATTAACGTCCTTTCTTTAATTTCCTTTCACTTTATCTTTCCTTTCCCATCCTTTGACTCTCCACTTACCTGTGCTTACTGACGTCCAGTTGAATATTTCAAGGGTAATGTTTTTAAGAAAGCATTGTCACCACTCACCACCCGTGGACCCATAAAAAACCATGTTTTTTATTTTTTTTTCTTACTCAGTGTATAGAGTATTTTTTTTTTTCCTCAATAGGAGATTCATTAACCTTAACCCTAAAATTAGGCCAAGATTGTAAATGGAAGTATGGAACAACATATATGCAAACATTAAATCAACCCCACTATTGGATATCCCACTTTATTAGAAAAAACACTTAAATAACTCTTGGTTTGAAAATTCTGTAATCAAAACCCGAGTATTGTGTATGTACGAGACCTCATCTAACTAACATAAGTAAACATGTCTTCTATTTACATAATTAACAACTCTAATGCATATACAATTTTGGCACCGAAAAAAGTCATGGTGGGCATTTCAAGATCTACTTGGAGTCTTTTTCTTCTGATTTGAGCTGTTGGATTCTTTGACGTAGTCTACGGCGGTGGTCATGTATCTTCCAAAGGCCATGTCCCAAAATAACGGTAGAGTATATGCCATGCGTGATAATGGGGGCAAGAATATTATTTGTCTGTCACATTCCAAACAAAAACACATGAAATCTTAGACAAACTACCAAATAATTTAAAAAAAAAAAAATTGTGAAGTTAAAGTACCTGGATCCACTCGAAACCTAGGTAGAGAGCCAGCAGTCCTTCCAGAAGTGGGGAATAGATTTTTCTCATTTGCCGTTTCTCATACCAGGCTGCACACCGAAAATAGACAATGTATGAGATTAAGACATCATACGTAGAAAATGCACAAGAAAGATTTTTCACTTCTGAACCATTTTTAAATATCTTCACAACCAACTAATTCATGTCAGAAATAGAAATTGGTGTTAATTTTTTTGTTTAAGCATTCAAAAAAGTGCTTTTATGATATAATTTATTTTTAAAATATTTTTTTCAGAAGTTACTATTTTTAGTTTATCAAAAAAGCACTAGAACATTTTTCTTTTTTTACTATTTTTTGAAAAACTTATCCAATTATTATTAAAACAAACTAAACATGTTTTTAATTAAAAGAGCTTCTTTTTTTCCTTAAAAAGAAGTATAAACAATCTTGATTTATTCCATGATTTTCTTCCAAGACATTCACATGATCAAACCCAACATCATTAGTAAATTGATAACTCGAAATTAGCCCCAAATCTTCTGTTTAGAAAAAAGATGAAAAATTATGTTCAAGAAAACAAGAAACAAACACCATAACTTGCAACTTTAATTGTATGAATGATATAATTCTGTTTGTGAAGAATTATAACTCACTCCTCTAGAATGTTTACACATAAGAAAGATATGAATTAATTTTAATATTCAGCTATAGGAGAAAAGAAATGAACCTTCAAACAGTTTTTTCAAATCTTGCCGACCAGAGCGAGACTGTAAAACAGGTGCAACAACATAAGTAGGATCTGAAAGAGAAAGAGAAAAAAGAGAGAACCCTTAGGAGAAGCGATCATTAATGAGAACAAAGTAGGAAAAATAAGTAACAGGAAAGGGAAAATGTAAAAAGGGAAATAATAAAAGTAACCTTTAGGAGAGGCAGCCACATAATAGAGAGAACCAGTAAGGACAGCTGTAAGTACAGCTGCAAATGCCTGAGCAAATGGAACAAATGGAGGCAATACCCCTGTCTACATTTTACCATATATATAAGTTAGTCACTTGAACAAAACTTTTAGCTTTGAATACTTGTAACATAAAAAGGAATAAAAGGGTGGCCCATTGCATGGAGTTCCCATCATTGTGGGGTTTGGAGAGGGTCAATTGTACACAGCCTTAACTGCGAGAGCAGAGAGGCTGTTTCCGCGACTAAAATCCATGGCCTCCATGTCACAAAGCAACAATGTTACCATTGCACCAAAGCTCACCCTTCTAACATAAGGAGGAACAACTAAAAAAATAGCAGACATACCAAAGACGCCATTCCTTGAGCATCTGTTATAAGATTACTGCCTCTTAAAAATATATCAGCCAATGCCCCCTGTAGAATTGCAATAATAAATTATTAAGCTCAGATATTCTATTCTATGCTGAGAATAAGTTTATTAAGCCTACAATTTTCTTATTTCATTTTCATTATGAAGTCTTCTTCATCATTAAACTCTTAATATTCATCTTCTGAACAAGTTTGGACCAAACCCAGCAAAGTGTAATTCTTTCATCAATCTTGAGATACAGATAATGGGAGGAGGAAAACAGAAAAGAAAAGCAAGGTTTTTCTCCCTTCCGAATTATCGTTAAGAAGAAAAAATCAAAGCAATGCAAGCAATGACTTCTAATATTACATTCTTCAGAGAAGTGGGCTGGCCACATGCTGTGAAATTTGATTGGTCAATATAGCTAGTTTTTTTAAATCAAAATTTCTGAAAAATCAGTGAACTATAGAACGAGTTTAGAGATGGAAGATTTTATAGAACTCAAAACTATTCACATGGTATTATACTACTATCTTCAAAATTAAAATAAACCTACACTAGGTGAACTGTGCAGCATATTTTTAGCAGTTATCAAGTTTTTGCACGTTAGACATTATGACATCTAATTCATCTGAAAAGAATCAACATATTTATTCAAAATTATTCCTTATAGATGGCTCAAACCCAAAATTTATGTATCATTGTTCCCAATTTTAACGCTTATTCAAAAATTATTTCACAGACATCTCTTGGCAGATACAGTGAAAACCAGGCACAGAAGCTCCTAAACAAACCTGAACAGCAGCCCTGTAGAAGAGCTCCTCTCCCACTGAACTTGCAGCAACCATCAGCACAAACTGTAAGGTAAAATCAGTTAAATCGTTCTTCATCGTAGCACTGGACCAAAGATAATTCGGTATGTCAAAGCAAGTAATTTATCAAATTACCTGCCAAGGGGACATCCCATAGAAAAAACTCCACAGTTCTTCATCTTCTACATCTCTGATTGCACGGGCATGGGGTGATAGCTTCACGACTTCATCCTATAAATAACCATATCAGTTAATTAATTTAAAGTTCTACAAAAAGAAAAGTTGTTGTTGATGAAGGCTCAAAATTCAAGCACGGAAAGGAAACCCACAAGTTTTCCCTTTGTTGCAAATTTTCCTAACAAGTAAAGATGCGAAGCATTTCCAATTGGACCAAAATATGGAAATTCAAATAATTTGAAATACAAGTAAAAGAACACAACATTATTATCATCACGATCATAAATGAATGAACGAACTTACATCAAGTATAAACAAAAGGGCCATAATTGGAGGAGCTGCATATCCAAGCCCTTCCATTATGGCATCTAATGATAGATGAAAACCCCCCAGAGAGTCAATTCCCGTGATCGAACATATAAAACTCCCCGCAACAGCCATGGCACCGTAAATCCCTGAAACAGGCAATTTATAAAAAGATATGCTGGGAAAAGCAAATTACAACATACAATAATAAATAAAATCTAAATTTTCCATTTACCCAAGTGGGAAAAACATTAATCCGATTTAAAAGGAAACACTTTTTGTTTCTTTTGTTCTCTTTTTCGGCAACAGAGCAAAAGGCCTTCATTCCTAAAGCAGACACTTTTACTTCCTTTATTGAACAAAAAATAAACAACCTTCATCATTAACTCCAACAAAGCAATTCTTCACTTCAATTAAAGAAGAGAGAGAGAGAGAGAGAGAGAAGCTTTTGGAATTGAAAAGTTAGTGTCATCTCATCTCACCGATGCCATAGCTGAGTCTGACAACAGCACCAATCTTTTCCCAGACGGGGAAGTCAGCGTCGTTGAAACTGCGGTTGAATGTGGTGACCTCAACGGCAGGGGTGGTGAACCCGGTTCGAGTGTCCCCTTCGTCACCGGTTCGTTCAACTGAAGCCTTAGCGCATCGAACTGAAAGTCTAGGAGCATCAAAGAAAGGAACCCTCTTCTTCCTTGGCTGAAAATCACATAGCTTGGAGCAGTGAGCTGGAAGCGATGAAGTTGAAGGGTTGAGGGTCAGTGTTAGAGAGAGCTCCATTCACCACAGGAACTAAATTGTTCAGAACTAGTAAAGAGAAGCAGAAGTGGATTCAGTGTTCGTGTTCTTCATATTTGGGTTGGAACAAACGTTGATCCCAAATATCTCAACTCTCTCGCAGGTGAAGGTGAAGGTGAAGGTGAAGGTAGAGATTGAGGTACAATTTCAAAGGTAGAGGAGTCAACTAGGAAGGATACTTAGGATTGATGAGAATATCCCAACAACCATTCATTATCTGACATGTGGAGATAACGTTGGCAACTTTCTTGTTCTCGGAATTTCCTTAATAAAGAGATACTTTTTCTGTTCAAGGAACAAGTACAACCTCTCACTTATATTAAAAAACACAGTTAGAAATAACTAATAAGATCTATTAATACTTCACATAACTCACCTAGTTATGTATTTAATAGTGTGAAATAAGAATTTTTTTTCTCCAATAATACTTAATTAAGTTTTCAAAAATTTCTTCAGTGCTTTTAAGTAGACTAATTTTTTTTTTAAGATTCAGAAAATTTTATGCTAATTAATTCACATACTTGATAGTTGTAAAATAATAATTTTTATTCTCCGCAATTGCTAAAAATTTATTTATTTTTAATTATCTACATATTTAGTGCATGTCATTTTTTTTAACATTGTCAAGGTAATTTATGTTTATAGAGAGAAATTTAAAATTTTAATTCTGAATCCGTCCCGAATTAAATTAATCACAATGAATCAATTGAAATAGTTAAAAAAAAATACAATTTCTTGCTTAATTCAGAGATTCGTAAGAATAGTTTCGTTTGAGACTCTAAATGAGAGAATTTTTTTTTTTCTGGTATAAATACGGCCGTGAATAAATATTGCTTCAAAACATATTCGACCGTGGGGTCGCGATACGCGTGTTATTTAATTTTTAGTTATATTTCATTAATTAATACGCTGATTTTAAAGTAGAGTTGGTGCTGATTACACGTGTAACACTCAACCATCACAGACACAGTTTAATTATTGTACGTCTTATTTACCAAAAAAATAAAAAATAGTTAATGTATGTCTTCCAAGCTGAGATATCAACACTGCTATCTTAATTTCTCTTGATTCCATACAAGGCTTGAGTTGCGTTCGATTTAATAAAGAAAAAGGTATGACATAGTTTAAATAAAAGAAAAAGTATTTATCTTTTTAAATGACACAACTTATGTTATTTTACTCTCACAAAAAAGTGGGATCCACTCATCTCCACCTTTACTTTTTTTTGTCAATTCTCTCTCCTCCTTTATCTATTTCTTTCTCTTTCTTAGAATGACACAACTTTACATCCTTTAAAATGACACACATTTTTTTCTTAAATAAAATTGTATTGTATTTAATTGTTTACCTAATATAAGTATTAAACTAAAAATAACTTTTTTTTTTTTGAGTTACCCAACCCTAATTACCTCTTTGAGGCGAGTTGGCTCCATCTGGTATCCCCACGAGCTTCGACTCTTTGAGCCGGCTATGGGACTAATCCGGAGTGCGGGAATCAGTGATGCCTAAAGGTTCAGCCCCCTCCCCAAGAATGCATTCAAGGGACATTGCAAATTATATTTTTTTTACACCTTAAATTATGTTAGAAAATGTTATCCGCTTACAATAAGAAAAGAAAAAAAAAAACAATATTCTAAGAATTTCGTTATTCTAATTTTATCGTGCGTAAAATGATGCATAGCATAAAGGGTGTGATAATAAAGTTTTGTTTTTGTTTTCATCAAAAAAAAAAAAAAAATTTGTTTGTGTTATTCTATTCATGAATATAATTATTATTATTTTTAGGATAAAATATGTTTCTTTTTAAAATACACAATTTGTGTCCTTTTAATAGTTTTACATTATGTCTTACCAGTAAGACATAATTATAATATGAAAAAAAAAAAATTACTTTCAACGTTAGCCGATGTGATTGAGGAAAAAGAGAAAAAAATTTGTATTATAATTATGTCTTACCGATAAGACATAATATAAAATTACTAAAATGACACAAGTTATATCCTTTAAAAATACAAATATTAAACCTTCATTTTTATATCATCAAGTTATTGCAGCTCAGGTAACCAAAAGTAAAGTCATACGATCAACAAGATGTCACAATTTAATTAATCCTTTTTATTAAAACAAGATGATTTTCGACAATATTATTAGTATAATATACTCATGTGAAGTTTGGTTCGCCAAATATCACATGCTCATGTGACCTTCCATAAAATGTGTAAGGTTAACAAGCTGTTGTAATTAAGTAAACCTCTAGTTTGTTAATAGTAAAAATCAAATTTCAAATTGTTTTTTTAAACAAGTACAAACTCAATAAAAAAGTTATTTTTTAAAATTTTTAGGGTTATCAAAATGTCCCAACTAAAATAATTTAAGAGAGTTGCCAAATTAATGAGCTGTTGCGATGGGAGTTAACTCTCTCTCTTTTTTGTTAGTATTTAGATAGTTAACTCAAATGTCTCAACTAAAATTGCTTGACATTTTATTTTTGAAATTGATCTAAAGTCAATTATTTAAATTTTTTAATTATTATTCTTGTTTATTTTTTTAAACAGGGTTCGAGTACTTGCGCTCAGTGTTGTTAAACCCGACCCGGGCATCGACCCGGTCGGGGTACTGGGTCACTGGGTCATTGGTCGGACCAGTGGGTCACTGGTCGGACCGGTTGACCCGGATATATATAGATATATAAAAATATATATAAATATGAACATATAAATTCAATTATATCTTCCATATCTAAAATAAATTAAACAAGGTTCATTAAATAAGTTAAAAAATGAAGCATAAATAAATAAAAGTGCATGCTATTACTATGTCAATTTAAATGGCAACTCAGAATCTCCATAAACATACCTCTTAATGACATTGAACTCATATTTTTCAAATTCAACTACATTAAAATGACATATGTCACATTCTCTAATTTATTATTCCACAAATTACTTTAGTATTGAAAACTAAGAGGTCATTGTAGAAGAGTATACTAACAAATAAAATTATAAAAAATTGTTAAAATGAGTTTTACATTTTTTTTATAAGATGAAACAATTTTGATTTTTTTTTTTTAATGCATGACCTGACCGGGTCACCGGGTCGACGGGTCACCGGGTTTGTCCGGGTTTTGACCGGATTTGACCGGGTCGATGCAGGACCGGTCCAATGCTTAACCCGAACCGGTCTGATGACCGGTTCACCGAGTTCTGGGTCGACCCGGCCGGGTCGGGCCGGGTTTGACAACAGTGCTTGCGCTATTACAACCAAAATCGCGGGGGAAAAAAATCCTAGGATGATTAAGCTGTCACAAATGAATAAATTTTTTTATTATTAAAAAATTATTTTCTATCTATTTCTATTTTTTTAAGTTGAAATAGAAACAGTAAATAGATGATATTTGAACAACATGTGGGAAAAAAATAAACAGAATTCAAAATTTCAAGTTTATTTTGATTTATTTATGGGATTAATGTTTCTTGTAAGAGATAAAATTATCTTTCATACACACATAAAAATATATTGGCCCATATTTTTTTTTTCTATTTTCCTCACATCGACCCACATGAGTCCTACACTAATTTATGTACATGTAAGAAATAAAATTATCTCATATAATATAATAAACATTAATCTCTTTATTTATTTATTTAATTTCTTAATCATTTTATCTTATTTTTCTTAAAAAAAAAATAACTCGAGACTTTTTAGCACTTTTTCACTGATTACATGCACGGGGATTTTACACACATGTCCATTGTGTAAGGATGTCAATATAGGTTTTGACACGTGGATCGACCCGCGACACGACACGAAAATTCGTGTTCGGATTGACCCGCAAAAAAATTTGTGTCGTGTTCGTGTTGATGTATTCGTATTCGTGTCGGCCCGTATTTTTTTTAAATTATTTTATTTTTAATTATTTATTATTATTATTTTAATTTTTTTTAATATCGATCCATTTTTTTAAATTTTTTTTGTCAATTACCCTTTTGACCCCTATTTTGTGTGTTATTCGTGTCGTGTCATGTTAACCCGCAAAAAATTCGTGTCGTGTCAATGTTGAAGATTTTGACACGAATAAAAATTCGTGTTATGTTAGTGTTGATGTATTCGTGTCGTGTCGAATTCGTGCCGTGTCGACCCGTTTTGACACCCCTACCATTGTGTATGAAACGCTCTTAAATAAATCACAACACTGTTGCGTAATCATTTTAACAATACTCGCCCCAAATTTTTGAGTATGTATCATGTATTATAGAAAGGAACTAGAACTAGAAGACATTAAAGAAGTACATAGAAGTGTCCTAGCTTTCGCAATCACATTTATTCTTTGCTTCTATCCATATCAAGGGAACATCTTATTGAATATAACTCTTAACTCATATTTGGTAAACTAAAATCTACATAGAGCAAAGTTTAAGTTTAGATCCATTTGCAATTGTTGAAAATCCAATAATAATATGACAAAGAGTTAGATAGAAGCAAATTATTGCAATTGCTCCCCCGCACTCCGGATTAGTCTCATAGCCGGCTCAAAGAGTCAAAGCTCGTGGGGATACCGGAGGAAGCCAACTCGCCTCAAAGAGGTAATTAGAGTTGGGTAACTCCAAAAAAATTATTGCAATTGCGACAAACTATTCTACATCATTAATAATTTTTGCCTTTAGTTTTATCGTAAATTTCCATCATATTTAGACGTATTTTTTCTATCACTATTCAGTTACAAATCTTTTCGTCGATGATTTTGTTAAAAAATTCAGATGATATTATCACATCTTATAACAAACAACATGTTCGGGTTTGGCAAAAATACATGGGGTCTATAATGCTACAGATGTGAGGGTTGTCACATGAAATCATCATGGAAAAATTATAATAAAGAATTTTTATGTGGAGAAACAAAACATCATTTTACATCTAATCTTGAAAATAAATTATTTTTATGTTTATTGATGGGAAAAATAAAACAAAAACATAATAACATTTTTATTATGATTTCTATTTCCCAAAATTGTGAAATTATATTTTTTATAAAAATATTAGGATTCCATTTTTTTTTTTAATGAGTTCCATTAGAATATGTAATATATCCTCGTTCAATTTATAAAACCGTAAAGATTTTCTTTATATAAATTATATAACCCTCGTCTACCTA